AAAAATGTAGGAAATCATGATGACAAACTGAAAACTACAATTCGCATTGGTAACAATACTGCCTGTGACAAAAGAGAGAGAATAATCGATGTGTGAATTAATTAAAATGATCGCAGTGACATAATTTTCAGCGATTGATGAATGATGAGATCAGTCCGAACCCAACACCACTAAAAGCGTGTTAATTTTATCATATCACCGAGCAAAAACATCGAATAATATTCATCGGATTATCGAGAATAATGAATGAATTAAGATGCAGTACATTATAAATGTACTTCACTTAAAACGTACGAAATCCACATGATGTAATAGAATTATAATTCAGGTAAAAAACATACACGTACCACAAACTAATGGGGTTAAGAACACGAAAATAATCTCCACACACGCTTGAAACGAATTTTTCACAACCAATATTTAACTGCATGACTACACTGTCGTTCAACAATTGTGCAGCTATGAATTTCTGCACAGCTTATGCTTGAAACAAAATCTTAAAAAAGATAATGCAACAAAAAATAAGAAAGTCATCACCATATCACATTCTTAATACCATATCACATTCTTAATCATTAAAAAAATATGAACACTCCAAAACTTTTAAATCTATTTTATATGCTCAAATTTTATATATCTTCTGTGAGTAAATTTTCATACTTAAGAAAAATCTTACACAAATTATCTTAAACTTTTGTTTGTACTATCGTCTTAACTAACTGCAAAAAAACCGGCATTCTTAAGCAACATTAAAGATGCTTCGAAAAAAGTTATTTGCCAACAATAGTAACGACTATACAACTCCGCAATCAACTTGAGAATCCCTTCCATGCTAAAAATATGTAGACCTACCACTGCACTAAGTCCGCAAACATAATATAAAGATATACAATTTAAATTAAAACCAAGAAGAAAATAATCCTTTAGCCGAGTGAGCCTGTAAATCAAGCTTTGATGCCATAAACGGTGTCATACTTTCCTTTTCCAATGCTTCATATATATCTTCTCGTTTCTAAAACACTTTTGAGGTCTAAATGCGTAATTATAATCAAAGAAATCAAATAAAAAGAAAAAAATTTGTCACAAAGCAATGCCTGAATCCTATGCTATTCAAAGCATTTGTTCAGATTTTTAAACAGAATGCAAATCATTCTACTACCTACAAGAATATTTGAGAAATAACTAGGCTTTAATGCACAGCTGTCTTTTTTCTTTGTTTTGAGAGAGAGAGAGATTGTAATATAAACCAAATGCAAATTTCCAAAACAGTATTCCTTACAAAAATTTATGTCAAATTTTGCACCTATCAGAACATGAATGAGTTATATCAAAAAAACAGTATCTTAAATCCACTTGTAAAACAAATAGTGGAAATCACTGTTGAGATATAATAGATGCGTGAAGTGGACAAAACCAAAAATTTATACATTTGTAATACTTCATATTCTGATTAAATCTTTCAAAATCTGCAAACAGACTTTGATTTCTCAAAATATAGCAAAAAAATCTAAAGAGTCATATTTAATGATGATGTAAAATGTAGACCATCACCTTTAAAAGTGCATTAATCTCTTTCGTTTCCGATTTCAGTTTTTGTACCACTTCTTTATATTTCTTAATTGCTTCGGTATATTCGACTTGGAATTTAGACATTTCTTCTTTCTTTTTCATCAATTCTTTTTCTGTTGTTGTTAAGTCATCTACCTGAAAATTTAGTTCGATGGATTCCAAAGCTCACATATCACAACTTCCTCAAACTGTTTCCAACATTGCGCCATGCACTGATTTGTAGTACAGGGCAAAACAAATACTGCTTATGAACTAAAGAAAATAATCACTCACACATTTGATGGAGGTAGATGTATTATTCAATGGCACAAATTTCAATTGATATTTAACATCTTTAATCCAATTATCACCGTATACACACAAGAAATGATCACGTTGTTCGAGTGTGTGAGCTCCGACTGTTTCCAAAGTATCAAGTAAATGGAACGTTAGTGGTGTTTCCTTATCTTCCATATAAAATTTAACCGGGACGAAATCACTTAAATTAGCTCGATTGAAGGGTACAAAAAAAATCTCAGCCATTGTGCAACTTTTCCGTTTATTGCTTTCCTGAAATATAAGTCAAATCCAAGCTAATTATGCAGTGTAAAAATTGATTTGTGGAAATATAAAGGTCCTATACCTGAATGATCCTAACACCACCTTCTTTATCGAAGAAAACCAATTTGAATTTACTCATTTGAAATGATCGACAAATAATCATTAAACCATTTTCCTCCCATTCAGATCGCATTCTTATTTTAAAAAAATTTGCTTCCTAAAATTTGAAATCCGACACGTCAAGATATGTGTGCAACAGAAACTTTCATTCACTATACCAGCAGGTATTTATATAACCAGTAGGTTCTATCATTTTGAAAAAGTGTTAATGCACTAACCAAACTCTTTGCAAAAAGTAAATTTCTGTCGAAAAAACAAATTAATACATCAGAAATGCCAGCAAACATAACAGTAGTCATTTATAAGCCTGCGAGTTACTATTTTTACTTTAATAAGTAAACATAAATATTTTACCTGCTTACCAACTGAACCATCATATGGTATACCTTCCTCCAAAACAGAATACTTCGCATCAGTAGGTGTACCCTCACATAAACTGCGCGCTTGAGATAGCACTTTAGGTCCTATTTGAGTTGGTATTGGTACTCCCAACTTTGAAAACAAAGCGCCAAAAACTCGTCCTGAAATATTGAATATCAGTAATTTTTAAATTTGATGAAATATATATAAATAATAAGATTCAAATTCAACCTTTAATTTGAATTCTTATCATTCACTGTACACGATGAACAAAATAATTCAAAAGAAAAAACGATGCAGCCTATATTAATGTCTCTGAAATTTACAGTTAGATAAGAAAAATGACAAGATTCGTATTAAGAACGAATCATACCAAGT